GCTATTTGCCACTAGTAGTAAGGTGCCTTGCTTCTAGTAGCTTCTTGCTACTAGTAGTAATGCCAGGAGCTACTAGTAGCTATTTGTACTAGTAGTAAGGTGCCTTGCTGCAGGTAGCTTTTTGTTACTAGTAGTAATGCCAGGAGCTACTAGTAGCTATTTGCCACTAGTAGTAAGGTGCGTTGCTGCTAGTAGCTTCTTGCGTCATGAACAAATGGGAGATGTGAGACATCAACATCTCACGCTTCGGAGAGCGCCTCTCGAAAGAGCGACTCCGGCAATCCGCCACGAGCATGCGAATCTGGCCTGGAGTGGAGCTCGGGAAGGTGTCGCTGGACAGTGTGTATACCAAACAAATATACATGATATCATACCAAAAAACACATGCTGTATTATTAATGTGTGTTTTATGATTTTTACGTATTTCCGCAGTTGTCAAAGTGAATGTGGCTGCAACCCATTCAATACTTGTGGCAAAGACCATGGGAGACAAACCAATCACGGCATATAGACACCGCCGTAAAACTCCTGTTGTAGGACTTTCTTGGGCGTTTTCTGGGAAGAGATGGTTTACCAAAAGTCTGAGGCTGGCTCTAGATTCCAAATCTGCTCACATCTGTGAACCCTGAAGATTCAAACATCATCATCAACGTAACATAACTATTATGAGGTGTTGATAGCAGGTGCTTGAAGATCATGATGTATTTGGTTGTGTCTGATCCCTTTGGACTTGCAAGCAAGACCCCCAAATCCCTCTGCCCTGGCGGCTTTTCTGGTTGTTCTTGCATGTGCTTGCCATCGAAATGGATCAATCCACTTTGGCTGACACAAAACAATCTGGGATTGAAGATCCATCAGTGCAACTAGACTCGAGACATTGGATCATTGGATGGACTAGATGAAAAAACATGAAAAGGTCAAGAAGAAAACAAAATGAGGCCGGAATCGGCAAGGTCAACACTTTCAGCTTCCGAACCCTTCCAAATGCCTGGCCGCTGGCCTCCCAGGTGAACCCAAACCCTTCCAAAGCCCAGCCGCTGGGCCAAGATCCACTCCCACCCTCCTGTTGAACCCATTTCTGTCCGGACCGCCCGACAGGGCCGCAGAATTCTTCTCAATTTTGACACGAGCCGACCCAAAGCCAACGTCGTGAAACCGCGCCCTGAACCACTCTGCGACGCGAACGTGAGTTGTGCCAGGTCGCTATAGAAAATCTTCAACCTGGCACGATTCTGGTGTTCTTCTCCGACCATGCCGCTCACCCACAGTGGAGCAATCGGAACATCCGGAATAAAAATACAATAATAAACACCGTAGTAATAACATGGAATGCACAACAGAAGCGACCATGTCCTCGAAGGCTGTGAAATCCACAACTAGGCTTGCGACCCTAGTGGATTGCTGGACTCGACTCAGGCGCCTGGTTCCTCTCTATCCCGGCACATAAATATAAGTCAAATCCCAGACACTCCATGTATACCATATATGCGATATATGCCTACATTGACCCCTCAAACCACCCCAATGTAGGCATATATGGCATACATGGAGTGTCTGGGAATGCTATTCATTCCAGAAGCCTGCTAGTTCTTTCTCCGAGTCCTGGAAGGGCGTTCTGCTAGTCATGTTTCAAGAACTTTTGGGATGGGGGTTTCTGAAAAGTGAGCCACAGACCCCACCCCGCCAAACCCACCATGTGAAAAAATAAAGACTTGACCAGAACCAAAAGCAAAGCAGAACAAATTCATACAACTTCCACATGTCGGGAAGCTTCAACCCAGATAGGAAGGAAATGGACCCTGAACGCCGCTGGACGCAAAGTCAGTTGCAACCCGAACGTTATTGTGTTTTTTTTTGTGTATTACATTTCAGGCTACTGGCTATACCGATAGCTGAAGAATTCCATATTTAAATAGAAATACAACAAAGCCCAGGCTTGGCTCCAAGACTCCCAGGAACAACAGTCTTCAAAGGACTATGTACTACTGGCTGGTCCCAGTGCTTCTGGGCCGCTCAAGGTGTGGTTTCAAGATGTTTCAAGACTCCAAGCGAAGAGCTGGAAAGTAAATACAGGGTAAGTAACTATTGTCCACGAACCAAGCAACCCAACGCCAATCAATCATGCCCCAAACCCTCTTGGACAATCGTCCTTGGTGGTGTTGTCACCACAGAACTACCCCCCCCGGAATTCTTTGTGTCAGCTACAATATCAATAACTGGGACCTACGAGAGCAAAGCAATATCTCATCGCGAACGATTCAGCATGATTCTGCCATTGTCTCAGGCTTTCCCATGTTGTGGCGTTCCAAGATGTCAAGAACTGCAGAGGTCGCGAAAACTGCTCGTGGTTTCCTTTTGGTCCGAGACACATGGAGCCCAAATAGATCATGCATCGGCACACAAAGAGGGCAATGTTCTCCTGAAGCACATCGGCAGCTGCATCGTCAGATGTTCGGCCCAGCCCAGCACCGAACCCAATTATTGGAGAACCGCTGGGCTCGGCTGGTTCACCTGACCAATACTTGCGAATGCATGTATTTGGAAGATCATAAACCCATGTGCATCCATGTATTATACCTGTCATTGCCTAGCTATCGTGGGTTGTGCTATAATGCTGCATCCGACCTGCATTACCCTCGTCAGCGCAAACATATGACCGCTTCGGACCAACCGCCGCGGTCCCGAGCGTTGCCTGGGCGTTGCGCCGTTGCTCACCTTGTTACTAGTAGCTTCTTGTTGCTAGTAGTAATGGCCTCCAATGGCCTCCACCGTGCGTAGCTTCTTGTTACTAGTAGCGATGCCAGGCAATCCGAGCGACCTCCCTTGTGGGCGCATGGTCCGCTTGCAGTCGTGGGATGATCGCTTGACCTTGGATCGTGTGAGCGGAGTGCTGGACCAAGACCCCTAAACGCATACTTTGCCAAAAACACGCTGTAAGAACAGTTTAGTTGATTCTTGGCTGATGAACCATGATGAACCTTCAATGGCCTCTTTCTGTTTGTTGCTAAGTGCCAAATCAATCTTGATTGAGATTGTGTCGATATATATTATAGTTATATGAATATGTATCTAAGTTCAGTTCTTTGCCATCATGATGTTAAACTGTGCACCACTCTTGAACTCTGGCGGCTCTGACGAACCTCTCATTTCGGGCTGGTGATGGCGCTGCAGCTAGCACTGCGTCGCACCGCCGTGTCGCGTCGCGTCGCGTTGGTATACCGATCAGTTGGGGGGTGGTGGTGCCAGAGGGGTCAAGACCCTTGGGGCGGCATATATTTGACAGACATGGAGTGTCTGGGTATTTTGAATGTACACCTGTAGTTGTAGTTACACCGACATAGCTTGCAAATAGATGTCAACACTTGTGTGGCCAGGGTGGTGCAGAACTCCTCAGCGGATCTCAGCGGATAAAAATGCCCAGTTCTTCAAACGAAGCCTCATCGCTCATCTCGCTTTCCCTCGACCAAGTGCGGGCTGAGTCGCTGGTGATGAACAAGCACAGCATGAACAAGAAATAGATTCGCCTCGGAGTAAACACACACAAGTCCTTGTCATTGGAACCAAGTACGTCGAGTACGGAGAACCTGGGCACGCACACCTGAACACTACTGCACACCACCGTTCAACCACTTGATCAAAAAAATCTTGCTGCACAAACCATCACAAACCAATGTGTAAACTGGTTACGGTTACGCCATGTAACTTGTCATTGGCTTAGAAGCTCCCAGAAAAATCACCGGTATTCCCGGTGTTGCAATGACATCCAGGGGTCAAATCAGCGCCCAAAGCAAGAGCTTCTGAATGCAAAACAACTTTAGCAGGAACATCACTCGACAATGTGTCCATATCTGTGCTTTTGGGATATGTTCAGTCGTCTCAATGCAAAACAGCATTAAACAGCAAAACCAGCCAAACCCACCAGCCAAAGTGTCAAGTGGCCCAACCAGGAAGCTATACATGGCCAGGTGAAACCAAATCATGTCCACGAAGAGCACCTGCGGCGATCATCCCGTGCCGTGAGCCAAAGGAAAATGACCGGGATCACCCCACCCCACTCTAAGATAAGTAAGACCCCCTAATGTTCCAGATATATATATATATGTTGGACGAGAAAAGGGACCCTGTTGGTTCTTGGGCGGCCCCAAAAAGAAGGGGGTCGGCCACCAAGCTTTCACCGGGACTTGCATGCCGCCTGTGAATCCGTTGCCGCCCCCAGGCGTCAGGACCTATACGAAGCATTCCTGGTGGAGTACAACAAACGTGACTCCAGTGAACAACCGAGAACTACAGGAGCTACAGCAACATCACGTATATATATATATATAATATATATATATATATTGTTTCTTTTTATGTCTAAATATATATGTCAAGCATCGCAAAAGGAACTCTAATTTCTCAGTCAGGTTAACTAGACCTTAGGGATGGTAGTCCTCTTGAACTTCGATGAAGCCAGCCTGAATTGCATGAAGAAGGCCTGTACCGACAGCTGTACCACGACACATCAACATTGAGAGAAGGAGGAAAGCTCCCGCCTCCAGCTGTCAAAATGCTGTGGACTATGCTGTGGTTTGAAAAGGATGCTACTATGGTTCTCTAGGGTTGCCCACAAAGTCCAAAATGGCCACACGTTTTAAGTTCTTCCTGTGAAGAATATGAATCTAGGCCCCCGTGGACCCCCCCAAACAGGGGGCCGAAGCCGTTTGAACAACCACCGCCCGTCTCCGCCCGACGACCGACCGACCGCTTCTCGAAGTGCACCAAACCCTAAACCCCAAACCCGCTCGGCTCGCTCTTTCTCTCGTCTTCCGAAAGAAAAGGACAGGGCACCACCACAGGGTGGCAAATGATCTTGGGCTCTCCGAAGTCGGACAGCCACTCCAAGGCCTGGCGACACCACGTGGAGACGCAGAAGGAGCGTGGCGCTGAGCGAGTTTCGAGCCGGGGAAACGAGAAACCCATCGAGACTGGCTTCTCTGGCTATTTCCGGTCTTCCTGTCTTTCAGGGCCGAGAGGTTGCGGGTGGTGCCAAAAAGAATGGTCACCAGCTCCGCTGGTTTGGTATCAGCTCCGCTGGCGCCTGGCTGAAGTTCTCATCCTGGTCTTGAACTAAGTGCCTTAGGACCAGCGAAGGCGGGAGCGGAAGAGCGGGGAGGGCCAAGATGGGCCAACGGCATTGTGGAGCTGCTCAGGGCCAAGTCGATGGGTTCGAGTCTAGACTATGCGACCACAACCGTGGTGTCTCTTCTTCGGGGTCTTCCCGACTGCAGCACACTAGAACCTGTTAAAGTTTAAAGCGATTGCCAAAACAACAAGTATCTCTGAGGTTGACATCTTGACAGGTCCACTCCACCACAACCTGATACAGCAACTTGTACATGTACTACCGAATACTACTATTGTATTGGAGATACACTCAATAGATGTTTGACCGCATGTGGCCCAAAGTCTGATGTTTCGCATCGAGAAACCACGTCAGTTCAATCTGGAGCTCTGATGTCGCGAGAAGAGCCATTACACTGAAGAAACCCGCGCATCGATCCTTTCACTCTGCATGGATGAGTTGATACGGAGGGACGCGTGGGGAGAGGAGGTGGCATTCTGTGTCTTTTGTTGAGCAAATGTTGTCTCCTGGAAGCACCGTCTTCGCTGGTCTCGGTGTTCTCCTGTATCGGTGTTGCGTACAATGTCCATCAGTGAAGTGGGATGGGCTGTTTCAAGGGGAACGCCGAAACCGGAAACCGCCGAGGTGCTTCACGTAGTAGTTGGTGCGCCGATAGCCTGCGAAAACAGCCAGCCACATCAGCCACTACCAAACTCCCCTCACAAGAAGTTGGTGGCAATGCTGTAATATTTCCAACGAAGAACAATCCCCATACCAAAAATGATTGCAATTGTATTCAAGGCAAACTATGCTCCAAGAAGAGATTTTCTCATGAGCCCTCGCCCCAGGCCCCAAGACCTGACTACCATTCAAAGCAAACAGCCGTCAGTAGAGACTGCTCAACCCTTGGAACTTCTTGGCCGGGTCAGGTGTGGCATTGGTCCTCACCAAAATGCAACGCACATGTTGATGCGGTATGCGCTCGGTTTATTTCTTTGCATGGTATATGACTGATACATGTGCCGTGTCATGCAAGGCTGTTCTACTCGAGGGCCACATCACTGATCCAAACCTTCACTACTAAACCAACAGGTAAAGCACTGGCTACAAAGTGCCTGGGTCATGGCCCTTGAAAAAGTATCCCATCCCAAACAGTTTCTACTCAACCATGTCGCCGAAGAAACCAGACTCAAGTAGACATGATATGAGTTAGGTCAGACCTGTTGTTGTGGCCAACATGCCGGTCACGGTCACCATCCGCACCTCCCACAGTCAACCGAGAGCGCCACACCAGGTGGTCCAGGACCACTGGCAGAAGCGAAGGTGCATCGGCACCTCGAAGGCATCTACAGTATATTCTATCAGTCGTTGCCTGATCAATTTGACTGAAAAAAGGAAACATGTGACACTTTCCCACATTCTACGATACCCATGAAGATGTCTTAAGACTATTGCGGCGACCCCCTACGATGAATAACAAACTTTGATAAACCAATATATGTGCACTTGGAAACTCACCTACTTCCTCCACACTGTTGCAGACTCCATACTTGACCAAACACTGGAACATCCAAATTAGGAACTCAACTATAATATATCACACTATAGTTGTTGTTTTGTCTTTTTGCTTCTGTGTACTATTGTGAGTATATGTACATGAATGTCTTCTGGGCATTGCGAGCAGTCAGCGAACAAACGAACACCTTGAAGTCGGCCATTGTGTCTCTGCGGACGTCAAAGGTAAAGAAGTGGGGATACAGGGATACACTCCCTGGAACCAACATGGAAGTGGGTGAATTCAGAATGGCCCCAAAAGGAAGACTTGTCCACGACAAACAGGTGGTTTTCCACTTCCATGTTAGTTGCAGGGATGTCTGAAGTAGTTACTTCAGGGACCTCGGCCAAGGGGCACAAACGATGAATCAGCTCCGGATGTCGTGTGAACAAGGCATCGCATCCATAGTAGTAAAGGTCACGATCTGCGCGGATCGTCAAGAGATCTTGCAGCATGGCCTGGTTGATGCTTCGGCGATCGTAGGAGACTGAGGACCTAGGACCTAGAAGTACCCCTCACTTTTGCCTCCTGAGACATAGGTGTGGCCACAAATTCATGGAGCCCTGGACAAGTCCTGCAAACCACCAATGCAACTGATCGTATCTGGAAACATCGGAAACATCCACATGATCCTATCAAAGCTTTAATGAAAGGAATGGGATATGTTGGGATGAATCAACGGTTCCGTTGATGCAGAAGTGTTGCTTCCCTTAGAGTTCAAGATCGGTTCATACTATATATATTGTACACAGTATATACACATGTATGTGAGAAGTAGATACAACCATTATAATCTATTGTAATTTAGATGACTATATCAAAACACCTCCGGTCGAACGGCGTCAATATGGATCAAGATTCATCCAATACATATATATATATATATCCCTAGGGATCCAAGTGCCTCCTCAACAGGTACTTGGACCCTCCAAACCCACCCCAAACACCTTCTCAGAGGGTACTTGGATCCTTAGGGTCTATATATATAATACAAATACATGAGACTACATAAGTGATTGTTGAAGAGACTGTACTGTACGAAGCCTCTTTCGGGACTATAGGAGTCCTTCATTTCTCTATGTAACCTTTTCAGAACTGACCCTCAAAAAGGATCCCGAGTTGAAGTGGGAATTCTGACTCAAAAAACCAAGACCTTGGGTCTTGCATGATCTTATCGTTATTATCGTTCCTCTGTTTCCTATGATCCAGTTCTTCTCGCAGGGAAAGAGTATCGAAATATGAAAACCTGCTAACCTGGTGGTTCCACTTCGCGGTTCCACCAAACCGAAATCAGACCGCGAGACGCGCGGCCCCGTCTCCGCTGCCCGGTCTGTCGAGACAGGCCGCCTTTGCGCAAATCAAGCTCCCACTCTCAATGGACCAGTAGAAGGGTGAAATAGACTGAGAGCCTACCTGAGCACGAGGAAAAGCGTGGAAAAAGCGTGCGATGAACCTTGGCCCCGGGCCCCTGGAGATCCTGTCAAAACGCACACAAACGTCGCATGTTACAAATACGGTATAAATGAGCAAACAACAATTAACATGAAGTAAATCGATCGGACATCCGGACAGAACAAAAGGAACTGTTGTGATGCAAAAGGATCTGTTTGGTACCTTTGCTACATTTGTTCATTAGCCTCAGCTGGAATTAGCCTCAGCTCCTATACCGCTCCAAGAAGGATTGATTCACTGCCCATCGAAAGCACTTTCGCGCGCGGACCCGAGACCTCTCCCGCCGGGGCGCGGTGATGTTCAGCAGGTCCGTGGCTCGTCGCCCACGGGGCGCCACGGAGATGGCCTTTTTCAAGGCCTGCGGATTGGAAGATCGGACCCCGGATCCTGGTTTGGTCATGAGGGTTGGAGGTATACCCCTATCATATACCCCTAGAACGTTACAATATGACCACTATATAGCATTATATATGATTATAAGTATGATTATATTGCCCAAAGTTCATGGTTTGGATCCTTGTATTGCTTTTTTTAAGTATTTCAGGTCCCAGGTTTTGATCCCATGTTGAAACCAGGCACATGACCAGAATTGGGGTCTGTGAAAAGAAGACGTGCCGCACTGCATGGGATCAGGGAGACGGAGACAGACGGACTTCCAGGACCACTGTTGTGAAAACAAGACTTGGATGCATTGGATCGTTTTGGCATGTTTTGGACCAAAATCTACGCACACCATCCAGCTGTGTCCGCTTTGCCAACAAAACTCTTTGGAGATGGAGGAGCACTTGCGGGGATTAGATGGGATTGTTCTTCACTTCTCTGGCGCGGCATGGCGCCACGCATCGGCAGTGGATGTCCACTGAATTCCACCCACGAGACCAGCTCGGCCTTTTCAGAGTTGGTGTTCACGGCCTTCATGACAATGGTGGAGCCTGGCACCCCGAGGAACGCTGGACATCCATCCAGGACCCCTCAGGGACCGCCAGGGGTCCAGGGTTCTCCATACACTCCGTTGTTGGAAGCCCTGCTATAGTTTTGTGACTTTGGAGTTGAAACCGTCCAAAAGCTATTCCTGGAGTACACGTAGTGCCCCAGCAATGAGCAACCATCAATAGCCGGTCTAGTCACGTCCTGCAGCCTCTACACGGATCTGGGATGGTGCTAAATGGTGAGGCAACTTCAATCCAACTCCCAATCAAACTGCAGAACTATATAACTCAACCAGGGTCAGGGTGTTGCGTTGAGATGTGATTCTACGCTGACGCTTGACATGAAGGCCACACAAACGATGACTTCATCTGTTCATCGTGTGGCATGTTATTGAAAATCCAATCCCTAGAAAGCAATATATTCCGTTGGATTGGATTGGTGACCGGTGACCTGGTGATGATCGTTCGATGTCCTCTTTCCTCGCCGAGTCCTCTTCGCCGAGTCCGTTCGTCTGATGAGAGTGTTCTTACACGACACGAGGAGGGTGAAAACACGACACAACGGCTTGTGACTCGCATAGGAAAGTATAGTATATATATACATTGCGAGTGGTTGAAAAGGTGGTAATGTAGGTAAATATTTTCCATATAGATGGAGTGTATGGGTGGAGGGGTGGCACCCACAGGACTGCAGCCACGCCTTCCAAAATGGTCCGGACGAGGATCTTGGCTACCAAGGTCAACGACCAGCGGAAACCCGTCTCGGCGCTCTCATCCTTGGGCGACGTCTGCTTTGATCCCTGGTGGAAGGAACTTTCGATTCTGGATGAAAGTTGCACAAATGTAACCCATGCAACTCCTGTGCAACCCATTTAGTCTCCGAAATTCTTGCAATGGCTGACAATGAAAACTCACAGCAGGGATCCAAAAGGAATTACACTGAGCAAGCCGCACTAATCCAAAGGGACTTCTATGGACTTCTACTCTACCGGGCAAGTCGATGCAAGTCGCTGAAGCCAAAAAGAAGCACTCTCTATACCTATATACATACATACCATACCGCACGATGCCACACCATACCATTCCATATCATTATATTCCATGACATCACATACCATCACATACAATCACATGCATGCATGCATACAAACAAACAGACCGACAGACAGACAGACAATCAAACAGACAGAAAGTCAGGTCATACATTGCATTGCATAACATTGCATTGCATTGCATAACATTGCATTGCATGCTATGGTGGTGGTTCTTCATTGTAGATTGATTTGTTGGTTCTTTCTCCTTGAGGTGGACTAGTGAACACACAAATCTCGGCAGCCAAACTGGTCCCTTGGCTGTGATACGACAAGAACTAGGATTGAGTTGAGGATTGGATTGAGGATCCATGTTGCACAGAAAACATGTTCACCAAAGCACACGGGCGGCAAACCCATGCCACATGTCATACCAGACCTTTTTTGAGTCCCGAGCATCTTTTTGATGATGAAAGTTCAAGGATGGATTGACATCTCCCAAGTTAGCCTCCCCCAGTTCCTCTCCCACGTCGCCGAGAAGATAGAGAATGTCAAAAAGGTCTAAACATGTTCCAGTTCCGAACCCATGGAAGGGAGGGGGTGGTTTGGGTCACCCGCTGGGGCCGCAGTCCCAGAATCAGAGGTCATCGTACGCACCACGTCCACCGCGCTGGAGACGAAGGGGGCAAAGAGCTCCGTGGGGATGGCATAGCCCACATGGCCTTGGAAAACGCAGTCTCCAGAGGCAACCGCCACGTCGCTGATGTTCTGCATAGAGATGGGGCCCTCCTAAGTATTTGTTATTTGGGTATCCTATTGTTTGTACGACACACCCTAAAATGTGTTCTACGCACCGGCAGTCAGCCCTACGCTGAAACTCATTCCACGTTTGGAGTTGCACACCATTGGCCAATTGCGCTGATATAGTTATATATAGTATATCCCTAGGGATCCAAGTGCCTCCTCAACAGGTACTTGGACCCTCCAAACCCACCCCTTGTACACCTTCTCAGAGGGTACGACTGGATCCTTAGGGTATAGTTTCGCTCAAAGGAACCAACAACTTGAGCCACAACTGAGCCAATCCGGATCGCGGCCAAGCGGATCGTCGCGAACGAGTCGGATCGCGTTCAGCGAGTCGGAACTTCTTCCACGAGTCTCCAGGCTGCTTCTTGCTCCTAGTAGACATGCCCTTTGTTACTAGTAGTTTCTTGTTCCTAGTAGCTTCTTGTTACTAGTAGTAATGGCCTCCAACCTGCTTGCGATGGCCTCCACCTAGTAGCTTCTTGCTCCTGAGCATCACAAACAACGACGAGCTAAAGGGCGACCAGTTCAGCTTTGTGGGGGTTCCACAAGTGAGCGAACATGAGACCATGACGACCGGGATGTAGCCGTTGCATGGTTCATCAAATGCTTCGCTATCTCTCGAGTACGTCTCGGAACGATTGCAAGTGAAATGAGTGTTCTGAACTGACGGGTCACGCACACATTAAACATATCGATCGATGCCGTGTGATGATTACGCGTCGTTGTGGCTTCAGCGCGAGCACTTCAGCGTCGCATCTCGTGGCCAAGTCCACAACCTGAGGACATGACGCAAGCCCAAAGCAGAAAGGTCTTCGACCATTGACTTGGGGTTCTTGTACATCTCCACCGTCATCTCAATGATCCTGAGTGGCTTTTCCGGATCGGTTTAGCCCCTTTCTCCGGGTAAAGCACGACCTCACAACGTGAATGAAAGGATCCTACAAATGTCAATGCTTCCACGTGCAGCAGGCCAAGTAGTGCCACAACAACACCAGGACCGGCCAGGACCTGTTATGTTTTGTTCATGTCATCTAATTTACTGCCCCATTCTTAATTATGTCGCGCTCTTAAGTCAAAAAGGAAAAACACACAAAACAAACTGCAGGTCGGTCGGCCATTTCGACCCGATGTTCTGTGGAAAATCACGGTCGGTCACCTCATGTCACCATCCGTCTTCCTTCCAGAACGGACCGATGAGAAAAGGACCAAAAAGTAGAATTAAGTTTGTCTTTCATTGCCAAAGCCGTAGAACTATGTTCTTTTTCTAAATGTATTTGATGTCAAAAATGGAACATCTCGACGTTTTCAAATGTTTTGCAAAAAACGAGATGCCAAGGTCGGAAGTGAAGGCTTGGTCCTAAAACGAATACAAGTGGTTGAATGAAGCCAATTGCCAGAGTGTTGCGTGGTCCAACTTAAATAGAGAATTAGTGAACATGGACGCCCATCAGCAAACTGTAGCGAATGCCAATGGTCTTAAACAATTCTGCTAAGGAACTTCAACATTGTGCAAACATGTGCAAACTACTATATCATGTGTATGTCTATATAGACTTATATATATATAATATAGGCCTGGGAAGATTAACATGGAACTTGAAAACCACCATTTACAAGTTCCATATTAATCTTCCCGGGTGTAGATTCTATATGCACTTTCTACTTGTAGCATCTTGTAGCGCTAGAGGTGAGGGAAAGCTCGGATGGGCTTGTTCCAGCCCCAACTCTTTTGTGCCCTTTCTTTGGTAGGCAGATCGCTCAAAGTAACACTGTGACCATGTACGAGTAGGATGCATTTCGTATTTCGGACAGATCTCAACCCAACCCTTGATCATTGGAAACAGATTTTATTGTTTGACAATTTGACACCCATTATTATTGACATTTATTCTTGATAAACATAGCCAATTAATTACACTCAGCTGGCCAAAACCTTCGAGCCATCAACTGACACTTGATGGTTTGGGTCTAAATGATCCGGGTTTGTGGGTGGATCCCTAGATGATCCCTGAAACATGTCCAAGTGGGCGTGGAGGCACAAGTACTGCCATCCACGACAAGGATAGCGCGCGTGGAGGCGCAGGCCATTTAAAAATGGCTTCGAATATCTTCGAATGGAGTGGAAGGAGTTGGGGCAGTGTATATGTGTGTGAGTCCGCAACGGGAGTGTACGTGTATGAGTCGCTGATGAATGAAGATCAGAATGTTGAATGGGGGCAGTTCTGCTGATCACGATGCGACCGATGATTGCTGATTGGATTGCAAGTGGTTACAAGCTTACAAAATCCTTGGGATCGCTCTGCGCCACCAGATCTGCTCCGACTGATCCGGAACAGACACATGGACAGTCCAACGGATTTTGGAGCGGCTTCTTTGTGAAATTCCAAGGCTTTGAGCGAGTCCCAGTATGTATGTGGTCGCTAGCTCCCTCTTTGCCATGTTCATTCCCTTCAAATTAAGGTACGGAGGCACTGAGAATTGTGGAGGGCAAGCACAACACGGTAAGGCGCTACAGATGCTGCTGATCAACCGTGTATAATAGCTGCTTAGTGGGTTGGGTTGGGTTGGTTGGTTAGGCGACTCACGGGACGCGACTGCAACAGATCAACATAACGGCTCCGCAAACATCGTCATAACAACTTCAACCCGCCAGCGGACGAAGATCCATTTGAGCTGAACCATTCCATTTGCATTTGCGGACGTCGAAAGCACTGCTTGTGACACGCCGTGCTGGCGCCGAATTATGAATTAAAGGAAAAGAGAGTCATTCCAGACTGCATCACAGTAAGGTTGCATTGGGGCATCAGTCGAAAACTAAACCAATAACCACAACAGAACCAAGTCGATGCCCAGCAGGCAAAACAAACGAGGAAAAAGAAGAAGGAGAAGACAAACCAGAACAAGAAGACAAACAAAGAACAGGACGAGGACAACGAGGAGAGGTTCCACCAGCCACAAACACACACATAGAATCACATAGACTCATAGAGAAGCAAACAAAAAAAACACAGAAAGGGACCCCAACACAACCAAACACAAACACGGAGCAACTACACAGGACGGATTGGCCCGAGCCCATCCAAACACACCAAACATGCAAATATAACTGGTAACCTACAGCAACCACAACAGCAAAGCCCCCCCCCCACGTCCTGTGGGGTGTGATCAATCGACTATGACCGGACAGAACCGCTGGTCTCAAGCTAACCACACCGTATTGGATTCCGCTGGGTCGGAGGTCAATCATGATGAGGCCATGTGTTCAGTCGAGCCAAAGCTTTTCGCGCGTAACGCGCGTCCATCAGGGGTGCGTGTTTTCTACTCAAAGAATCGACGAAAAGAAAGGTCGGCCTCCGGCCTCGTCTGAAGTGGGACATGTCCGATCGTCTCAGAGATTCTGAAGCGGAGATCGGATGATCCATGTCTTCCATGTCGGATGGCCGCCGGTAACTTCAGTGCCGAGCTTCTTGTCTGCAATGAAAAAGAGCCGCGTCGTAGACTGTTTGAAATAGTCTTGCCCTGCTGGTGCCAACTGGAAGAACCTGCATGAGTGAAGAACTTCGACACCCAAATCGGGTGGGCAAAGATGAGCAACGTTTTGCCGATGAATCTCTGTTTGACCAACTCGGAACTCGTTACAATCGACTGAACTCATCCGGAGTTGGATCTAGCGGCCACGGGGACGGATATCATCAACTGACAACCTATACCCGAATACCCGGGATGACCTGCACGAACAGGCTAGTGACTATCGGCTAGTGTCATCATCGAAGTAAACAAATGGTTTTCGGTTGCGTGTCCACGCGTTGCACCTCTTGAACAATTCCCGACGAAGATGGTTGATCTCATCCTCTTGCAATGCCATGATGAAGCGTTCCACGGCCTTCTCTTGAACCTCTGAAACAAGCGGATGATGCAGAAATGGTACAAACTTCAGGAGACATAAAGCAAACTTCCAGGGCAAATCTCTTTGCAAACACCTTATAGTTATCAAGTTTTTCAGTGCTCAGTGCTGGCCGTTGACCTCCGGTACACATGGTCTGAGACGATTTGTCCATTGATTTGCATGAAAGGATGTCTGGTGAGGATGTCTGGGCCAGAAATGGACCAGCCTACGCCGCAGCATGCTACGCCGCAGCATACGCAGATGTCACCGATCCGGTTCGGAGCGTTTCAGTCAGAAACCCCGCCTGTGGTTTTCCCATGTTCGCCTTCAACATCCGCTCGACGTTCTCCCAAAGCCAGTTCCATGCAACCTACGCACAACGTTCGTCGTTCCACGTGACATCATGGTCAAATCTGCCCCTTCAGCATTGGAACCGACCAGTTCTGGAGGGTTCAAAAACCCTGCAGTTCGCAGGGGTTTGGATCCGAACCAAACCTTCACCTTCGAGGGTCCTTGATTCTATAGGGTGAATGCTTTTTGAATGGCTTCTCACGCATGTCACTTCATGCAAGCGATCTTCTGGTTACCTCTAGGTCCCTGGCCTCGTGCTCGGAATCCCATTCCTGCGCAGCCCGCAGCGTAATTTGTTGGTCGGCAAAACGCATGTTGTTGCTCTTGATATTGCTTGATATTGAGGGAATCCAGTAACCAAAATGGGTTTTGCTTTGTATGGTCTTGTGTCAGCGCTCTAGGCTGCCAGGCTGGTAATGCAGTAGCTTATAGACCTACAGTGCAAACATCACGGGGCTACCAAAACTGACTCTTGCTCTTGCGAGCTCTGAAAGTGTCGAAGGATTTTCTGGGCGCATCACTTGCTCAGATTTGCTCTTGCTCAAACACGCGCCACCCCTTCCTCCCCTCACCAGTGCCACTGGCGGTGCCGGGAGTGTTCGACAACGTACATTGGTCCTTGGGTACCAGCGACCGCAAGGATGCCAAGGTCACAGACTTGAACCTGGTCGTCGCGCGGCGTGTCGAAAGGTCACAGGTCGTTGAAAGGGCGAACGTCGGCGCTGTTTGGAGCGCTCAAGAGAGCCTGATGTTCAGCGTTCAGCCTTGTGTTGCTTAAGGGTTAGCGTTTTGGACTGCAAGATGTGTTTTTGAAACACCGGAGTTCAGCAACTGAACAATGTCCCTCGGAATTCCTCCCCCAACGCAAACAACTCGACCGCAAGTGGAGTCTGAGCTTCAGCTCATTTTGACAGAAAGGCATCTCAGAGGCATGACTGCAGAATCCCTTTGGCCCAACATGATTCTCGGAGTAGACACCCCATATACAGATACATCAGGTTACATCATAGATCAATAACACAAATCCCAGCTTTAAATTTTGTATATATAGTCCTTTTTTGAGGTGCATGCAAGATCCAGCACACTATATGTCATGAGCTCCCCACACACTCTGAGAACAAATCCATTCTCACACACTCCCCCCCCCAAAAAGGCAACTATGTAGCCCCCTTGACAGAGTATGTTTCTTGTATTTCTTCAAAACTCGAGCAGATACGACTTGCAACCGTCTGCCCCCACATCGACCATATTCGACCAAAGGTGCTCAGGCAAGTTGATGGTCCCGGTGTACCTTGAGCCACACATGGCGTTTGGGTCAGTCATCTGGCTCAACTCCAACACTGCTATCCATGGCATGGTCCACGTCCTATATAACACCTGGTTAAAAAAAGAAACATGTAAAAACCCGTGGCAACTCCAAACACCTGGCGCATGGCACGTCGGAAGCTGCATGTTTCGAGTTCGCACTGGATCGAACGATCCCCGAGCTGAGAAGAACCACCCAACGCATCGTCCTTCGTCTTCGGCCGAACACGAAGGATAGCCCCACATGGTCCCATGGCAGGGTTTTGCCGTCTTTGTTCCCATCTCCGGTCTCGCTGGTCCAGAGGCTGCTT